AGCTGTGGAGTGATTACACCCCGCAAGTTACAGTATAGCTGTGGAGTGATTACGCCCCGCAAGTTACAGTGTAGCTGTGGAGTGATTACACCCCACAAGTTACTGTGTAGCTGTGGAGTGATTACGTCCCCACAAGTTACAGTGTAGCTGTGGAGTGATTACACTCCCAAGTTACAGTGTGGCTGTGGAGTGATTACACTCCCAAGTTACAGTGTAGCTGTGGAGTGATTACACTCCCAAGTTACAGTGTAGCTGTGGAATGATTATGCCCTGCAAGTTACAGTGTAGCTGTGGAATGATTACGCCCCGCAAGTTACAGTGTAGCCATGGAGTGATTATGCCCCGAAAGTTACAGTGTAGCTGTGGAATGATTACGCCCCGTAAGTTACAGTGTAGCTGTGGAGTGATTATGCCCCACAAGTTACAGTGTAGCTGTGGAGTGATTACGCCCTGCAAGTTACAGTGTGGCTGTGGAGTGATTACGCCCCGCAAGTTACAGTGTAGCTGTGGAATGATTATGCCCCGCAAGTTACAGTGTAGCCATGGAGTGATTATGCCCCACAAGTTACAGTGTAGCTGTGGAGTGATTACACCCCGCAAGTTACAGTGTAGCTGTGGAATGATTGCGCCCCGCAAGTTACAGTATAGCTGTGGAGTGATTACACCCCGCAAGTTACAGTGTAGCTGTGTAATGATTACACCCCGAAAGTTACAGTGTGGCTGTGGAGTGATTACGCCCCGCAAGTTACAGTGTAGCTGTGGAGTGATTACACCCCACAAGTTACAGAGTAGCTGTGGAATGATTACAACCTGCAAGTTACAATGTAGTGTGGAATGATTACGCCCCGCAAGTTACAGTGTAGCTGTGGAGTGATTACACCCTGCAAGTTACAGTGTAGCTGTGGAGTGATTACGCCCCACAAGTTACAGAGTAGCTGTGGAATGATTACAACCTGCAAGTTACAATGTAGTGTGGAATGATTACGCCCCGCAAGTTACAGTGTAGCTGTGGAGTGATTACACCCTGCAAGTTACAGTGTAGCTGTGGAGTGATTACGCCCCACAAGTTACACTGTAGCTGTGGAGTGATTACACCCCGCAAGTTACAGAGTAGCTGTCGAATGATTACACCCTGCAAGTTACAGTGTAGCTGTGGAATGATTACGCCCCGCAAGTTACAGTGTAGCTGTGGAGTGATTACACCCCGAAAGTTACAGTATAGCTGTGGAGTGATTATGCCCCGAAAGTTACAGTATAGCTGTGGAGTGATTACGCCCCACAAGTTACACTGTAGCTGTGGAGTGATTACACCCCGCAAGTTACAGTGTAGCTGTGGAATGATTGCGCCCCGCAAGTTACAGTGTGGCTGTGGAGTGATTACGCCCCGCAAGTTACAGTGTGGCTGTGGAGTGATTACGCCCCGCAAGTTACAGTGTGGCTGTGGAGTGATTACACCTTGCGAGTAACGCTGAGTGAGAACCGGACACACGGAGGACGGAGGACTTTCAGAGCCTCCCCCTGTTCATGAGACTCAGAGCAGGCAAAATAACCCCCCGTTACGGAGTCAGATTCGTGGTCGCCTCTGGGTGGGGGAGGGCTGAGAAGGGGCGAGTGAGGACGTTCTGGTTATGGGAAGGGGCCGCCCCTTGCTGTGTGTTGTCCGGCTGATCGGACGGTGCACACCTGAGCATCTCACCGAATGCTAATTACACCTCAGTAAACCAAAGCCCACAGTATGCCCCAGGTGCAGTTGAAGCTTTAAATGTGCTCTCCTCCATCCATTCCCTTCCCCCTCTCCAGAGAGAACTCCCAGGGCAGTGGAGTTCATGTCTTCATCATTTCACTGTATGTGTATGTATCCGTAGACAACAAATAGAAATGTCTTGTGCAGTAAAATGCACACAGAAGACAGCCGGCTGTTTGCCTTTTTCTTCCAGCATCATGTTTGGAGGACTATCCCATAACCACGCAGAGACCTGGTGCATCCTCCCTAATTATCCCTCCTTCTACTGACAGACGCTCAGGCGGTCTCAATTTGTGCATGTTGAATAATACTTGGATGGACATTGCTGGGCGTGGCTCCTCCGGTCTTGGACAAAGGGTGACACCCTGGAGCATGACCGCTGGGTCCTGGGCAGGCACCTCTTCCCCCCCCAGACCTCCAGGGACAGGCTGGGGAGGGTGCAGCTGGCAGAGCCCGGATCCCGGAGGGGCCCCCTGGGCTGGGTGCCCCTGGCTCTCACAACTTCAGGGAGGGGCCGCGGTTAATTGGGCGTCTGCTGCCCTGCAACCTGGTCCTGACTCCCTCTGGGCCTCAGTCTCCCCATCTGTAAAATGGGAGGGGGCCGAGTTCTGAGTCCCAAGCACAGAGGGGGGGGTTCCATGAACAAGTGTCCACTAAATAGAACTAAAACACAGTGGCCGTGAGCATGGAGGGGGGCTGCAGGGAAACGCCGCCTTGCATCCACCCCCCTTGCTTTTTCAGAGGCTCCCACATGCCACAGTGCCTCCCAGCCAGGACGTCCAATCCGTGGCTGCCCACGGCAGAGCCAGCTACACACGAGCCACTTGGAGCGCTTGGCTCTCGAAGCCCCACAGCCACGGAGACCAGTGGGTCAGGGCCGCTGAGGGGCAAGGCGGGGCCATTCTGATCTGCAGCTGCGGCCGAGGACCCCTGGTGAGACGGCACCACCGGGCCCCATGTCTGGGCCAGCTGGGAGTTGCTCATGAGTGACGGGGACTTGGGAGGGGTGGGCCTTGGGTGGGGGCCCCAAGAGGGCCCACCGCCCAAGCTTGCCATCAGCGTAGGGAGAGACCCGACCTCCCCCACGCCCTCCGTGGGTTGAAGCTGGCTCCTATCCAGGGAAGGCCTGCTCCTACGACCGCTCCAAAGGGCCGCCCCCGGGCCTGCTCTGGTACCCAGAGAAGCTCCTGGGTTGGCGGGAGAAGTGTGCAGCCCAGGGATCTGGCCTCAAGCCCACCCTGGGCCACCTCTGACCCCCTTAGGTGTTTTCAAGCTTATCCTTGGTTTCTCCATCTGGCAAAAGGGGTGACCATTGCACCCCCTGTTCCTTCTAATGGGTAAAGAAGTGACAGACTCGGCTGTTTTTCCAAAGTGGGCCGCTTTGCAAATCACGGCATGATGGCAACGCCTGGAGGGTCAGGGTGCGCGTGAAAACCCGGGCTGGCCCCAGTGTCTCCGCCCGGGCCGAGGCCGCCTGCTGCCTGTGTTTTGCGTGGGCCGCTTGCTCCCCTGCCTGCCCCGCCAGGGTCCTGCCTTGGAGGCCCCCCCATGTCAGGCTGGGCCCCAGGCACGGACGCCCTGGGCCGTCCTGGGGGCGGGCCCTGCAAGCTCCGTGCCCGC